CATATCATGGATTGAAAACCTGAAATGTGTGTGAGATTGAATATATTGAGTGAGGCTACCCACCGGCAAACCAGAGGTGACGACCTAAGTTATAGCCAGTGTCCTGTCCTCTCAACTGCCCCTAAGCACCTCTCATACTATGCATTTCCCCTTCCCTGGCCCCAAAAATAGGAGTCAAGTTAAGACTATGTGACAAAGCTTATAGGGAAAGACATTTTTGATTAACAATATTGATGGGAAGATGCCATTTTTGCGTTTCTCTGTGTAAGAAATGCCATTTGGAGAGCCGGTGTGCATGTCAGTGTTTTTTTTTTTTTTTTTTTCTTTTTCTTCCTTCATTCTGAGAAAAAGCTTATAGAGCCTGGTGGGGGAAGGGTTTGCAGCTGGCAGGAGCTTTGGCATATGTTGTAACTAAAAAGAGAGGGAATGTGTTGGTGGGACAAGCTACCGGAGAGCTGTCTCGGTGTGCTGCGGTACTAGTAAGTGTTTTAATTGGGTAGGATTTTTGGAGGACTATTTTGACATCTGCTCGTGTCTTTGCTGATTTTTCTTCACTTAGAGTAGGAAACACAAGCTGTGGATAAAATGACTTTAAAATAATTGGAAGTAAAGATATCTCTCTCAAAGACAAATTTGAGAGGGACACTTTTTAAGAAGTGGAAACTAAATTCCACTTCTAGGAATCCATCCTGAAGTACAAAGCTTTATCCTACAGATTTCATGACAATATTATATAGAATAGTTTCTTTAAAGCTGGAAATAACATTCAACCAAAGGGACTTGGCTGAGTTTGTCTTCATGCAGTGGAGCCCCCTGTAGCAATTAGTAATGATCTTCACAAAGCTTTGAATGGAGTGGAGCATTGTTTATACTGCAATCAGTGAGAAAATCAGAAAGGAGCAATAAGAACTATTTCAACTATGTTTTTAAAAGTAAGGAGGGAGGAGCATGGAAGGAAATACACCAAAATATGTTATCCAATTGAAGGATCTAAGGTAATGGTAATTTTCTTTGAAATCTTCTTTCCCTCCCCTCACACCCCTCCTTCTTCCAGCCTTCTTTTAATTGCAGTACTGGGCCTAGCAAATGCTACATAAAGCACTCTACTACTGAGCTACATGCCCAGTCCTTTTTAAAGTTGTTTTTTGAGATAGAGTCTCACTAAGTTGCCCAGGCTGACCTTGAACTTGTGTTTCTCCTGCCTTGGCCTCTTGAGAAACTGGGACTGCAGGTTTGCACCATTGCACCCAGCACACCTTTCCCATTTTTTGTAGTAGGTATGTATGATGTTTCAGATACAAAAGGCAGGCCAGATTTTGCAGAAGAGAAAACAGATCCTGAGAGCATTCATATAATTGTATGCACCTCACAGCTACTCATTCTGAAGCCTGAGCAGAGGATTTAGGATCTCTTCAGAGAGGGATAAACTTTGGAGTCAAGACTATGCTTAAAGGGGCTGGGATGTGGCTCAGGCGGTAGCGCGCTCGCCTGGCATGCGTGCGGCCCAGGTTCGATCCTCAGCACCACATACAAACAAGGATGTTGTGTCTGCCGAGAATTGAAAAATAAAAATATTTTTTAAAAAAAAGACTATGCTTAAAGCCAGTTCTGCTGCCACTCACTGGCTATGGGGCTTTGGGCAGTTTTTTTGCCTCTCTGAGCTACCAGTCTTCACCTTTACCAGGGACATGGTAGTATCTCCCTCACAGCATGGTTAAGATGAAGTGAGCTGGCACCCAGTAATCATCCAGCTTCCTTCTCCTCCAGCACTTCCCACTTCACAGCCTCAGTGTGAGTTTTTCTTGCCTTTCTTCATTCTCCTTGTTGCCTTGAGTCTTTCAGGGACAGGGCACCATCCGGCCAAACCAGCCTCTGATTCTTTCCTTGGGAACACTGAGCTTCAGGAACGCCCTTGAACCCATGCCAGCCCCTTTGGAGAGGCTTTGCCACCAAGAGGGCAGCATTGTCCTACAAGAGGAAACTGTGCCACTGTAGCTCCTGCCTGGAGCCTGGTGCTAGGGGCATTTCGGTTACTAAGGGGACCCTGGCCTGCTAAATCTGAAGAAAGAGCCAGGTTTTTTCCTCTTCTTCAGCCTGCTGCCATTGTTGGAAAAGTAAACACTCCACACAGCTTAGCCGGCAAGTCCTCCAGCCAGGAGTGGGAAGAAATCAAAAGCCTGCCCCAGCCTAGCCATGGAGAGTCCACAAGGGCTGGTCTGTGATGCTGGGGCCCCTCTGGGGACAGAGGAACAAGGCCGGATTCTGGTCCAGAATCAACATCCACTCACAAGGCCTTTCAGCCCCTGATGCTTCTCTCCAGTGGTCATTGCCTCCTGCCCCCTTCTGTTTGGGACTGTTTGGGAGGTCAGATGAGGCAAATAGGTGATTCTTGGTACAGGGGCCTCCATTTAGTCTTCGAGGCCTGGCATCCTCAACTGCCTCTCTGATTCAGTTTCTGTGCTTTAGCATTCAAAATGAGAAGCAAATAGTTACCACCAAGAGAATGGAAGCATTTCCGCCCTTAAGCCAATGCTACTACAGCTCTTCTGTCTATAGCTATTGTATGTGTTAAATAATAATAATAGCTGCTAAATGGTAAATAATAAGCTGTACTATGGCTCTGCACTGTGTGTCCCTGACCTCTAATTCTCACACAGTCCAGGGGGACGTGAGAGAAGGAGAGGTCATAGCTCTTCCAACTTCTCAGATGAAGGAACCAATTAGACACACAGCCTTAGGCAAGCTGTTGCACTTCTTGGAGCCTCAGTTTCTCATCTTGAAAATAGGAATGGTGATATCTCACTACCAGGTCACTGGTGGAAATGAAAGCATCTGTGTGGTGATCCTGCATGAGCTCCAAAATGTGACATAGTGGAAAAAATGGTTGTCCATGCTGTTTATTTAACTTCCTGCTGGTGCAGTGCAAGGCCTTCAACCTGCTGAGTTGCTGGCAGAGTGGGCAGCTAAAGAGCTGTGGACAGCTCTCCGACTCTTGATGTTCTCCTCCATGAAACAGGGATTATGCTTTGTAAGACAAAAGTGCTGTACAACATTCAGTGATTGAATTATTATCAATCCCTTCACCATTTTTTGATGGCCGTTGGCCTATAAATAGGGCAGTAATTAATATGCATATTGAGGTTTAGTGGGGAGAATAAACTCAGATTATCAATCTTGTCCATCCTCTGTGGATCTCAGCACGTGGTAAGGACTTGGCAGATGTTTTCAGGTTGATCAATAGGTTTGTGGACTGCCCCAGTGGCCCAGAGGAGTCAGATGGAGTTAGAGGCTGTGGTTCTAAGTGGAAGGCTTGCCCAGGAGTATTTTTTCAACCCTAGAAGGCTTCTGACCAGCATGGTTCCACCCTCCTGCTAGGAAGAATCTCAGAATGTTTATTTAGGTGTACCAAGTGCTATCCTAGGGACTGGAGTTTAAATATCAGCCAATGTCAGCACTTACCAAGCATGGATCACTTCATTAGGCACTGGTTATTAGCCACACAGTGGCAAGCTTTACAGATGAGCCCAGTGGGGGGAGGCAGGCAAAGGGGTGCCAGGGCTTCAGGGATGAGGGCTGAGATCAATCTTACTGAGGGTGTCTGGCGACAAGGAGGTGGATAGTGTGGTGTAGGGAACATGGGCTACAGAGGTAGCCTGTGCTATTCGACCTTCTACCACTTACTTACCTCATTTGTCTGAACTCATTTTCCTTGAGTTATGAACAATAAGGGTAATAACATCCACTTTGCGGAGTCTTGATAAGAATTATTTGTACTTTTAAATTGGTCATTTCCAGGGCATTAGCAAATGGGCTTTCACACCATCATGTGTCTGGGTCTGGTGTTAAAGACATTCCCCACCTCCACCCCAGCCAGGGCCTTGGTATGCACACAGGTTGGCTCCTTCAGTTCCAGCCTTGCTGGCCAGATTTCCTGGGCAGTGCATACCTAGACAGTCATATGGTGCACTCGATAGGAAATTAATAATGAAATCAGTCCCTTACATATTGGGTTACCATATGTCCCGTCTTCTGCCTGTTGCCCTGGTATGATATGCACTCTTCTAAATTCACAAGTATCCTAGTTTGAATGACACCTGATAGGGTCTTCCTACTTTGGGCAAAATAAAATAGACAATAGTTCTGAAGTTTAAAACCTGTGAGGAGCAAATTTGATACAAATGGGGAAGGAGGACTGAATGATGGTGGGCAGGCAGGAGAAAGATGAAAATGGATTCTAGCAGTGGATTAACAGTGGAATTTGAACAATAAAAACTCAGGTCACACAATGTAATACCACAGTTTATAGATAGTTGCTGCTAGATGAGGGGCTCCATGTCATCCCTTCCTCCCTTCACCAAGCAGAAGTACCTCTTCTAGAAGTCCTGAGTCTCCCTTATCCTACCACTAAACGAGTGGCCCATGGCCAGAGCCATTAGTAGCTGGGTTTTTATGGAAAATGGAACCAGACTGAAAGTGTGACCTTCCTACTTAGTGTTCAAGAGAAATGTGAACATACCATATTCTTTACCCAAGAATGATGAAATCCAAAAGAGAGATGAGCAGGTTGCTTTTGGTAAATGAGAAGAAAGGAATGAATGTGGGTGTCTTAAAAGCCCTTTGTATATTCCTGGAGCCAGAGGTTTAGGTCTTCAGCTTATGTTTAAAAAAGTACACTCATGTGCATGCATGTGCACATACACAGAGAAAACAACGATAGGGTACAATCTTTCTCTTCTTAGCTGTGAGACCTGGGGCATGTTACTTGGGGTGGGTGAAACTCGCTTCATTCCTGGGCCTAGGGATGACATGCAAACTCAAGAGTTTTCACAGGAGTTAAATGAATAACAAATGCGAATCATTTATGGGCTGCCAGAGTACTAGTAAGCTTTGGTCAAATGTCACCTTTTTCTCTACTCCCCTCCCTGGAGAAGCAAAGAAGGAATATCTGTGTCCTGGTAGAATTTCAATGACTTTCTCTTCTGGATTTTGTTTACTTGCAGAAAGTCAGAAACATGGCCCTGGATGATGTTGTGATCCTGAATGTGGATACCAACACCCTGGAAACTCCCTTTGATGACCTCCAGAGCCTTCCAAATGATGTGGTGGGTAATGCACTCTTGAGAACTGACTCCTGCTTGCTTGTGCCATGGAAATTAACATGACTTAGAGTGTGTGGAGGGAGAGAAGATAGCTGTGGTTTTCCTGTGGCCTAAGAACTGTGGTTTGTTTCTCTGTCTTCTCTGAAACAGGGTAGAAAGTTGTGAGGTAGTTTATTCTTTGAGTTTTATTTTGCTCTGATGACTTTCATCTGAAAGTAATTCCAGAGTCTTCTCTTCTGTGGGAGCCTGGGAAGGAGGGATGCCACACTTCCCTAGCACATTGCCATCTCTAGAGAGCAGGGTAGCATCTTCTGAGTAACACCCAGATGGTGGGTAGGAGGGTTTTCAGTGTGTACAGTGTACAGTAATTCAAACCTATGTGGGTTCTATAGAATTGAAAGTGACTGGCTGCCGTATCTGCCAGTTGACATCTGGCCATACTAGTATCTCACGTCAGCTCCTGTGGCAGCTTTGAAAGTTGACTTGTCTACCCCATAATCAACCCAAGGGAGAATCTGGCCTCATAGGCAAGGGTGGTCTTCATGTTCCTATGGTTCCATGTGCTAGAATATCCATACATTCTTCTGGCTTCCAAAATGAAAGAAGCCCATGTTGCTGGCCCTGTGCAACAGATCAGACTGGGTTTGTGTCTGGGAGTGTTTGACATGGTGGGTGGTGGTGCTCCATCTGTCAGGAGCCCCTGTGGCACTGTGCTTTTCTGAAGGGATTACTGTGTATTGATGAATGATTTCAGACTTCTCTGCTTTTACCTTCCTGTGAGATTTGGGGATGGAATGTCATTTGTGTGCTATATAAAAAAAAAAAAATGTTTCCTTTGCAGCATCACTGAATAATGGCTACTGTCATTGACCTGTTGTTCACTAGGTGCTGTGCTAAGTCCTTGTCACTGACCTCTCCTTTACTCTTTGCACCACTCTGAGGAAGGTCTCTTCTCCACTCCCAATATGCAAGCCCAACTCTTGAGTGCATAGAGCCTACCCTGTTCCCGTTCCCTGGTCAAGCTCCTCTGTAAGGCATGGATCTCTCAAGCAGGGACCTTGCAACTGCCAAGTGAAATGTGGGAAGTGACTGACTGGGAGGCATATCAGCTGCAAAATAATGGCCAAGGGCTCTGACACAGAACAGGATGACTGTCAGCTCAGAAACCATGCAGTGTTCCAACTGACTCCATCTGCATTACTCTAACCCTGTACAGGCAAAGAGAAGACAGAACTCCATAGAGTACCTTCCAGTAAGGGAAAGCAGACATGTAAATTATATGTACACCACAGTGTAACATAACAGGGACCACAAGGGAAATAGAAATCAGTCACAGAAAGGCCCAGGAGAGAGAGTAACAAACTTTGGGAGAGTTTAATGGAATCTTCCTGAAGATGACAGGTTCTAAGATTCCTTTTAAGTGATCTTTGAGGCTTTCTCAGGGAAGCAAAGGAACTCAACAAGTTATTTTCTATCTTAGCACTTCAGCTTCCCCCTCTACAGGAGAGGTGCCAAGAGTACTCTTAGGATTATTGTGGTAAATTATAATGTTCACCCAATGCCTAGTACAGTGTTCATATGTTGCCAGTGGTCAATAAATGGTATCTGCATTTTTTAATAAAATAGTTGTTGATAATTATCGACAAGTTAGTAGATCACTAATACCCTCCTGGTCCTAACAGTCTCAGCCTGGGCATATAGGGCTTCTTAACTTCAAGCTGGTTTGAAAGGGAATTGAGAATATTTTACAGCAGTGTTTCCCAACATGGGGTCCCAAGATAGTAATGGGAAGGGAATGTGTGGTCCATAAGACACCTATTGTATTTCAGTGGAATTCATAAGTTGGATTCTGTAATGCTACATGAACTTTACAAAAGGAGAGATTCTGTCTCATCTTTGACACAGGACCTGCTATTTCCAGTGTATCAGCATGTCCACAGTTGACCCTACAATCTCTCCTTTTTGCCAGAGCTGCTGAAGGATTGAACAACTTAAACATTTTGTTAGTCCACATCCTCTTTCCCATCCATCCTAAATGCCACCTGATGTACCCTCTTGTTTCTCCCCTGCACTATTGCCAGCAGCCTACAAATTGGTTCATCTAATCCCATCTTCCTCCCTCCAGTCCTTCTAGGTGTACCAGAGTGACTTTTCTAAAACCAAAAATTAAACTATATATCCCTCCGACTTGAAATTGCTCCATCAATGAAAATGATCTGGAAAAAAAAAAAACTTTTAAAGACAAAATATTCTTCCAAAACTTCCCTCTACCTATAGATTCAAGGCAAGTTTGCTTTGTTCACTTTGGACTCACACAGACCTATGTTTAAATCCTGGCTGTGTGACTTGGGGCAAAATTACTAAAGATCTCTTCATTTCTTCATAAGGTTGTTGTAAGAATTCAATGTGACGTATATAATAAAAATATCCATCCTGTGGTCACTCTAGATGGTAGTTAATAACCAAGTACAGGTGTGAATGATGATAAGCACAGCATTTAAAGCCCCATTTCATGGTGTGATGCTCCTGGGGTTTCTATTTGATTTTTTCATAGTTTTAGCTCTCTCCCCTCCCTTCTTCTAACCCTATATTAGTAGTTCTCCCACACTTAGGTATTGTTCCATAGCTTCATACTTTTCATGCAGTTTCTTTTGTTCAAAATATCCTATCCCATCCATTAATCTCTCAGTTACTCTTCAAGACTTTCTCTAAACATTATGCTAAAAATTTTCCTTGACCTCTGCAAGGAAAGAGACCTATGTTGACCATATCTTTTCCCAAAGCCTTTTGTATTCCTTGTGTAATCACACTGATCTATTACCAGCATGTCCACAGTTGACCCTAGGATCTCTCCTTTTTGCCAGAAAAAAATGGCTTTCCCATTGAATTGTTACTTTTTGAGAACATGAACCAATCTCTGTTTCCCAAAGATCTAGCAGCCATTGAATAGATAGATGGAAGGATGGAAAGCACATATGGGTTGGGTTATTTTGATAGATGAAATCTTGCAAAACATGGCATCCATGCTGGAAATTTTATTAAAAGAGGTCTTGATTCTGCTGCTAGCCATGATGTAACAATTGGAACTGGATTAATCTTCCCACTATTAACTATTGAAACTCTGGACAGGCAGATTGGATAACAGGCTATTCAGAGCTGTGATCACAGAATGAGAGGAAACAAGTGATGTGAGACTTATCATTCCCCTGGCTTTCTTCCTTGAGGCATTTTCCAGACACCTGATACCAGAAGGGTGATCCTCAGCAAAGTACAACACTTTTATTGAGTTAGAAGGTTAAAATCTGAGTTTGTGAGTCAGAAAGAGTACTGGACAGGAGAGAGCAACATCACAGGAAAAGTTTCAGAAATCTGAATTGACTGACTTATTGAAGAATAATCTGCCCAAATGGAGGATGAAACTCCTGATCAAAGTCTACACAATGATTGGGCTGGGGATGTGGCTCAAGCGGTGGCTCACTCGCCTGGCATGCGTGAGGCCCAGGTTCGATCCTCAACACCACATGCAAACAAAGATGTTCTGTCCGCCAAAAGCTAAAAAATAAATTTTAAAATTCATTCTCTCTCTCTCTCTCTCTCTCTCTCTCTCTAAAAAAAAAAATTAAAAAAAAAAGTCTACACAATAAACTATATTTCCTGAGCCCACACAGGCCTAGGAATCATTCAGGTTCAGACCAGTCAGAATAGAGACCTGGGTGATCACTGAGGATAAGCACTAGAGACTCGGGAGAGTATGACTTCATAATACTTCTAAATTAACTCTAGAGTAAAGGTTATTTTATCTCTGCCCAAACAATACCTAAAATCAAGCCTTGAAAACTTGAGAGGGCTTTAGGGGTGCTGGTAATGTGCTGGCTTTTGATCTGAGTACTAGTTATATGGGGAAGAATTCAAGCTGGATATAATTTTTTAAATTATGGGTGAGTTAATTTTTATGTTGTTATATTAAACTTCAATAAAATGTTTTAAGCAATCCTAGTGATTCAGAAGGCTGAGGCAGGAGGATCACAAGTTCCAGGCTAGCCTCAACAACTTCACAAGGCCCTAAGCAACTTAGCTAGACCCTGTTTCAAAATAAAAAATTTTTTAAAAGTCTGGGGATGTGATTTAATGGCAAAGCACCCTTGGGTTCAATCACCAGTACCAAAAAAAAAAAAAAAAGTTTGAAACAAGTCTGTTTCTAAAGTCTCGAAAGGAATCAACCTAATGTACAAGAAAATTCAACCACTTGTCAAAATAAACTTTAAAAGAAGACAACAAACCCAGCATTCAACTCCTGACGTTATCAGTACTTAGCATCCTATTTTAAAAGTACAACACATGTTGAGAGTCTGGAATGTAACCTATCACAAGAAAAAATAGTATAAGCAGACTCAGAAAGGACAGATGTGGTAGAACTAGCAGACAAGGAACTTGAAATAGGTATTATGAAGATTGTAAATATGTCTGTGGATTTAAAGAAAGACTTGAACTAAATGAGAGAATTAGAAGATATAGAAAGAACAAAAGGGAACCTCTAGAGGGAAAAATATAATATGCTGAATGAAAAAGAAAGTCACTTTTGGAATTAGGAGATGAGACACTGCAGAATAAAAAAAAATGAACTTGAAGACATAGAAATTATTATTTCTGAGAAAGAAAACTGACAAAATGAACAGAACCTCAGTGACCCATACCACAGTCTCAAGAGGACTAATGTAGACCCAGCAGATGAGAAAGGTGAATTTTTACATGTTTTGATAAAAACAATAAACTCAGAGTTTTTTTATGAATAAAAAATATTTATTTGAAGTTAATGAATATAAGAAACAAACAGTTGGCTAAGATGGTCAGACAAGCTTCATGAATGTAATATATTTTGAACTGACTTTGTTGGGGTTTTTTGTTTTTTATTTATTTATTTTTTATTTTTTTATAGGTTGTTCAAAACATTACAAAGCATTACATTGTTCAAAACATTACATTGACATATCATATTTCATACA